TATCGAAATCCGGATCATCTGACAAACGCAGATGACAGGGGAGTTCAGTTCGAAGCCTCACTGTTTTCATTGCATCGCAGACCTTTGACAGGTACTGCTCCAGTGAGGTGATATTTCCTCTTTGCCCAGCGGTCCAGTCATCCTCAGTAATTTTGAGGATATTCGCTGGCGTGAATTCAGGGAAGCCAACAAGGCTTCGGGCCTCGTGCAATTGCTCCCAGCATTCCGCTCTTTCTGCAGTGATTCACAGGAAGGAACATGGCTCAATTCTGCATCCGGTTTTTGGTAGCAGCAAAACAGGTGAATTTACTAGGGACTCACCGGCTTTGTTAGCAACAGTGTCACCAGATGAGTCCTGCACCTCATCCTCATCCTCTTCTTCTTGTTGCAGTGGAGGTTCAGCTTCACCTCCACCTCCACCGGCTTGACTACCGTCTTGTCCAGTTACAGCCGTTCCATAAGCCGAGTTGTCCTCTAAGAAAAAAATGGCGGCGGTCGCCAACGACAAGAATTTCAGAATGGTCATTCTCAAAGCCCAAAGAAAAGACGATAGGTCTGGGGTAAAATAAAATTTTTTTTAAACTTCAGGTCCAATCTGAATATTGTAGGCCATTTCGGATTAGGAACGACCGCAATGGCAGGCAGGGCCCGGTGGGAGCGGGGGCGGTCTTGCCCCTGGCATTGCTCCCTCCAACTAGGTTCTGCAGATCCAGCCCACAGTACGACGATGATGCATGACTTCCTTTTCATTAATTTTGAAATTTCAAATAGAAATTTCATCTAAGGCAATGTATAAGTACGATCCAACGCGCTCCAACCGGTGTTTGCTCCGCAGCGGAGACTCTGGTCTGCGAACTTCTTGTCCCACTGGACCACCAGCAGGGCGAAATGCACGTTAATGTGATGTCTTCGAGGATTCACATAGCCATACATACCCATATATATTAAGAACATATAGTACAGCTTCTATTTATATTTTTTCGCAAGCTGCACCGTGTCTAGGTATGGGATGCGTACTTTGGCTGCCGCGTGGAATTTGCATTCATACCAACCGTTGCAATGGCTAATTCGGCATCCTTGACTCGGATTGCTACTATTTAATAAGCATCTGGCAAGCTGCGCAATGGCATTAAAGCCTCAGTGATCCGCGAGGATCCACGCTAAAACAATTTCGCCTACTAGGCAATGGGCGACAACGATTTCAGCGTGAACGGCGTGCGCTGTCTTTGACAACAAACTTTCTGCTGGTGTTCATCTTATCAAGTCCTGCATAGCGGTCTTGAACCGAAAAGTACAATGTGACACTGAGCGGCATTTGACTATTTTCGCCTGTCAGAGACAAGTAGCGCACTTTAGCAGCTGAAAACTGACAGGCGCCTATATTAGTCTACATACGGTTTGTTCGCTTCGCACCAGGCAAAAGACACTGCCTACGACTGTGGTGCTCCTACTTCGCTGAAGTGTGC